TACGTACGTCGACACACACACACACACACACACACACACACACACACACACACACACACACACACACACACACACACACACACACACACACACACGTGCGCGCACGTGTATGCACCGTCGAAATCGTCGAATCGTCGCAATGCTCGCGATCGACCGTGAGCGAAAATTTTTTTATCTCCGCTCGACCCCGCGTCTCCGCACACGATTGTCGAGGATCTAAGCGATCTTTCCGTCGTGGGTAGCGATTACGAGTCCCGCGCGAGCGGGAGTCGTTCTTCGCTACCCCCTTCCTTTCGATACGGATAATTCCATATTGTACGTTTATAAATGAGAGTTGTAAATTTACGTTGTGTTATAAAATGAGAGTGGTAAATTTTATTTTAGGCAAAAATTTGTAGACGTGATTAAATTTTATTCTCCGAGGAATCCTTTGTTCTTCCGACTTCATTGTTCCGTTCACACCGCTCGACTTACGTACAATAAGAAGAATCGTCCACCGTCCCGATGGATTTTTCAAATTCCTGAACCTTGGCCTAAATACCCGAGATGCCGACATCTGAAATTACCAAAAGTCGACCGAAAAAGACTGAACGTGCGGTGACGCGCCATTCCGGGAAATCTTCGAATTCTATTCTTTCTTTCCTTAGCGTGATGAGCGACCAGTTTGTAATTGGAGTAAAAAGTATTGCGGGAATAGTGACGAGAAGCTTGCTTATTAAATGCCTGTTAAATTACGAACTTATCCGAACAACTTTCGACAAATTGCCTCGTCAATTGCCGGTGATTGACGTAACGCATACTAAGAAATTGCTTGTTTTATATAATGCAGAAATGTTTATAAATCGCTTGTTAATGAGAAAGCGTCACGCATTGGCGGTGCTAGTAGATCTAAATTGGTGATCGATTCAAGGAAAAAGAAACTGTGGAATGTAGTCATTTCACGATAATTAAGACATATTTATCGTTCCGTAGTGTATGGATGTAGTTTAAAGAATTTGTGCTTTTATTTCAAATTGTGCAAATTGTTGGCTGATGTATTTTTGTTGCGTGATCAAAATTGTTAAAATATGATAAACTTAATGAAAATATTAGATGCTTGTTTTCGCAATTTCGATTTAATTTTATATAGATATTTGGAGAACGAAGATGAGAGAGAGAGAGAGAGAGATAAGATAGAATCAAGTGTTTAGTATTCTAGGGCAAAGCTCTTAGAACATACAAAAAAAACAGAGAACTACTAAAAATAGAGAATAGAAAAACAAATACACAAATTACAAAAAAGAAAAAAGAAAAAACAATGAAGATAACATAATAAAAAAATAAAAATAAAAATTATAGTAATGAAAAAATAAACATAAAAAGAGACGGTGTAGCGCGAGTCGCGCGAACAGAAAACGCGACAGATTTAGAAGACCTGATTCGAAA